TGGATCCTCAGTTCTACCTGGGACCTGATTATGTAACCCCTCCATTATAAGAATATTTAGTTCTATCTATCTAACCATCCACCCATCTATTTATTTATCTATCTATCATCTATCCATCTCTCTGTCTGTCCATCCATCCTTCCCCCTATCTATCTATCTTAAGAGCTTTCTGTTTCCATATTCCAGGTAGGACACTGGGCAGAATACTGTCTCCTTTCACACAACTAGATGCTATAAAATTCATTTTCCATATTTCAGGAAAACAGTGCACTTGTTTCTATGGCACTCCCCAAATATTTTTTATTTGTGACTCAATTTGCAAGGAGACAGTTTCCTTTTATTTAGATGAGTATATCTGGAATCACCACAGATCATTTGGTATTTTACTGTGAAAAAGGTTAATGGCCTTTAAATAAACAGAGGATTTCCACTTCTCCTTGTGAAAGAACAGGACCTTCCTTGACTGCAAGGTGTCAGTGGAAACTAAAGCTCGTTTCATTTTTTCCCCCTTCGTCATCATGGAGACAGAAATATGGCCGAGAAGAGAATGGTGCCTTTAAGAATTCCTAAAGTGTAGCTCATATCCTTTCCCCTGTTGAAAAGTTTCTGGTTCCCCACCATCTCCTTCCCGAATCTGATTGACCTTCTTAGGATGGAAGGTCACACCCTCTATGGTCTGCTCTCACCCCTTCCCAGCCTTACACATTCCCATGTCCCAGCCAGAACAGAGAGCATGCTGCTCTGTGAAAAAGCCTGGACTTCTCTCTCTCAACTCTGTCTCCTGGAAACACATCTGATAATCAAAGCCCGAACTGTTGCCTTAGTAATGCTTTTCTTCAACCCACTCATCCTAATGTGTTCACTCCTTCCCAATCCTCATCATGGCACCCTTAGAGAGCTAAGAGCATCCTTAGCCCTCTAAGATACCTGGGATACCTCACCTGGTATTGGGGCATTAAAAATGTGTCCATTCTCCCCAACCCGACCTGTGCTACCCTCTCTGAGTACAGGCTTACTGAGAAATAGGACAATATTTCATGATTTTATTACTGTACAATATATTCTTTTTTCCCTTATATTCTTTTCTGTATACAGAGAGGCCCGATAAATGGGTTTTGAGTGAATGAAAAGCAAAGCAAAGCAAGAATACATTTTTAAGGGATTCTACAGTGAAACTAACTTGGAGATGGTGCTATGCAATATAATTTTTAAACTCTCAGCTTGGTTTTGCTACTTTCACCACTCCGTAAAATGTATTAAAATTTGTATATTCATTGGAAAAAAATCAATACTGGATTGCTTTCTATTTTTATCTGAGTGAACTGCTGGGACATATTAGCACTTTTCATCACTGATGTTGGTACAATCAAATTTAATCCCAAGTAAATATGAATGAAAATTTCTCTGTCAGTTTCTCTTAGCCTCTGGAAACCAGCCTATTCTTTTCTTGTATATTTAGCTCATCTGAAGTCACATGGCTCACACTGTCAGAATCTATGCAAGTTGATTTCTGCTACAGAAAATCATTTCCAAGCAGGCGCTGAGCCTTGATGTCTTGGGCGTGATTCTCGTGTGAGTCTGTTTCATCAGAAATAAAGAGTTTTGATTACATGAAAATGAGATGATCTCCTTCCAAAGCAATACATTTCTCAGGAACTCAAATCCTATCTTTCCAAGAAATATCTTTCTCTGCAGGAAGAGAACAAAATGTCTCATCCAGCCTTTCACCTCCGGCCTCTGAATCAGGGACCTTCCCGGTGAAGGTCAATAACTCCATCTGTGGACCTGACCTTGTGCAAACGCCTCTGGGATGGCCCTTTATCAAAGACCCCTCCTCTGGTGTAGCTTCAAATTATCTCCAGGATGCCTCCTTCCCGTTAGTCCCTTTAGAATAAATTCTCTCACACCAAAAATAGGTGAACTTCTCTTGACCCTGAGTCCTGTTCCTATTACTGCTGAATCTCTCTTCCAGATTTCCCCAATAGCACTTGCCTGCCTCTTGCTGTCTCAGCTTCGTCACACCCAGTCACCCCTCAACCCACTCCACTCCACCTGGGCACCTGCCATGCCGTTGAATCTGGTCCTGTTAAAGTCCATGACATCCTAACTGCCACATCTAACGGACACCCTTCAGTGTGAATCGACTGACTTCTTTCTTTTATAAAACTCTGAGGACCCCTCCTCCTCCCCTTCAGAAGCTGAGAGACCCACATCCTCAATACAGGTGCCTTTTCTACTTCTTCACCAAATGGCCACTTGGCTGGATACTTTATCCTTGACTTATTCCGTCCACCCTCGAGTTTTAATTTCCACCTAAACACAGACTTTCATCTACCCAACCTTCAGCCTCTCTCCTAACTCCAGCCTCTACATGACAACTGCATTTTCAGTGTCTCCACCTGGATGACCCAAATCCAACATATGTGAGACCAAACTTATCCTCTTCATAGAGCTATTCCTCCATCTGGCCTTCTTTAGTTCTGCTGCTGGTACCACCATGAATTCATCCTACTTAAGACGGAAACCTGAATGTTATCTTGTGTTTTTGTCTAATTTTTCAAAAAATTTTTATTGACGTGTAGTTGATTTACAATGTTGTACTAATTTCTGCTGTATAGGAGAGTGACTCAGTTATACATATATTCTTTTTCATATTCTTTACATTATGGCTCATCACAGGATGCTGAATATAGTTCCTTGTGTCCCTGTGCTAGTCAATAGGACCGTGTTGCTTATCTTTCCCAAATACAGTCGTTTGCACCTGCTAACCCCAAACTCCCATCCATCCACTCCTCTACCTTCCCGCCCCTTTGGCAACACAAGTGTGACCTCTATGTCTGAGTCTCTGGATGCTACCATGACCTCTGACTCGCCCGTCTTTGGTAAACACCACCCACATATACGAGCCACTAAGTTCTGTCAGTTTGTTCCCTTGGGTTATCACTACTTACTAATCTGCTTAGGTATTTCCTCTTTCTTGAAGTCCTCCCTGATGCCTTTCCCATGCTTGCTTGCTGCCATATCTTATAGACATATTTCCATCACCAATCGTACACCATTGTATTTTAATCACTTTCTTCTGGATCTGGAGTTCCATCCCCACCTCCCATTTGCAAAACTCTTGAGGATAACAACCATCTCTCCTTTATCTTTCCTTGAATGTGGCTTCTAGCATCAGGCTAGCTTGGGTCTAATAAGAAACCTGGCTTAGTGAAAGCTTTCAAGACATACTGGCTCTATAAATGAATGTGTGAATTGTTCCTCAGTTGGAAGTAGCTTCAAGACAGACCCTTTTGCTCAACTCCTTCAGTCAAAAATGATTCTTAAAAAAATTAAAAATAATGGCAACTATGGGTTTGGTACAAATAACTGATTAAAAAAAATTGTCTTATTTGTTTTCTCTGATATGACATAGAAGGTAGCTGCTGTGATTTTTAGACTTTTCACTCTTCCCCAAATATCTCAAATAAACAATTTCACCTGACTCCATGTATATGTGTGTGTGTGTGTGTGTGTGTGTGTGTCTGAGTGTAACATACTGTCCTTATTTACTCTGGGGCTCACCTAAATAAAACCTCCTGTGGAGGAGAAACAGATGTGCAGAATTGGGCCAGAAAGAGGGACCATCCCTGTACTTACTTCATTTCCGCCTGTGATTCTCTTTGAATTCACTCCTTCAAGCAGGAAGCATGTGGGGTTTCATCTCCGACTATGAAAATTGTTTATGTGGCGCATTCCTCTCTTCCAAATCCCCATTTATGCACTGTTTGTGCCTAAACCCAGCACTCTGGTCGTTTTCCTGCTCAGTGAGAGTTTCTCATCAGCTTCCGTATGTGTGTGTGCACATCCACAGGGCTTCAGCCACAGCTTTTATAAATGCCCCCGGGGGGGGGGGTAATCAACACATTTCTGCCTGTTGTCCTATACAGGAGGTTACTCTGGGGAGGCTGAGAGCACTTTCAAGATACTTGAGTTAGTATATTAATAAGTCATCCACGAAAAAACATTGCTTAATGTCCAAGAGGAGCAGTAGTTAAATAGCTAACATTAGGTGAGCATTTACCATGGGCCAGACAACGAGCTACATGGTTTGCAAGCATTGTTCATTTCTCTGCAATTTGCATAGTAACTACTACTATAATCCCCACTTGACAGGTGACAGACCAGAGGCTGAGAAAGGATCAGTAACTTGTGATCAGCCACCAACAGAAGGTAGAGCTGGAGTCCAAACCCAGGTCTGCCCCCTGCTGGAGCCTAGGACTTTTTTCTTTTTTCTTTAAATTGAAGCATAATTGATTTTACTCTACTGTGTTAGTTTCAAGTGAATTAACAAAGCAGTTCAGATACATGTGTCTGTGTGTGTGCGCATACTCAGTCAGTTTTGTCTGACTCTCTGCGGCTCCATGGATTGCAGCCCACCAGGATCCTCTGCCCATGGGATTTTCTAGGCAAGAATACCGTAGCAGGTTGCCACTTCCTACTCCAGGGGATATTCCCAACCCAGGGGTCGAACCTGTGTCTGTTGTGTCTCCTGCATTGGCAGGCAGATTCTTTACCACTAGCGCCACCTGGGAAGCCCTATATATTAATATATGTATATATGTTCTTTTCTTTTTTTCCATTATGGTTATTATACTGTGGAGCCTAGGATACTAACTGTTGTCCTGTGCTTCCTCCTTCCAAAAGCAAATGAAACCACCCTTACCCCCAAAGATTTTCAGTTTCCTCTTTTTGCTAGAATTTTCTTTTCCAACAACTTGATCAGGGAGAGCTGTCCTGGCTGAGGCGTGAGTTGACGGGGAGCCCCTCCACCTCCTCTCACCCCAGCCTCGCCTGGCGTGGCCTTTCCATAGAGCAGAACGCGGTTTGGCAATCACTGCGCTGTGAGTGGAGACAGCAGCTGGTGTCTCGCGACACCCCCTTGCGGTGCCTGCAAGGCTCTGTACACAGCCGGCGCTCAATCACTGTCTCCGGCAGGAATGTGGTTCTGAGAGGGGGCATTACCGCCTGCGGCCACTGACAGCTTGAGCTTCCATGAGCCGCCGACAGGGCACCCAAGGGCAACGGCGCCTCTGGCCTTTGAGCCCCGGAGGGAGAACAGTCTCCATCTGGAAGGCACAGGTGTCCGCGCAACTGCGCCCAGAGAGGAGACGCCAAAGGAGACTGCCCTNGGCAGGAGCTGGGAGGTGGGGCGGGGGGGTGGGGTCTGCTAAACCCAAACGGATCTTCCTAAAGGGATCTTTCTTAGGCTTTGCTTTTTTTCCAATCATGTTTTCCATGCTTGACGTTACCAGGTGACAGCTCCTCCTCCGTGGAGAAATCTGCCATCCCACTGGGATAATTCCAAAGTTATTCTAAGAGTTCCTGCTCAGAACAAATCAAGCCAATCAGGAAGCGTCTCCACTTGGGCTGTGCCTGGCTGATTGTTTGCCACTTGGACACTTCCTGCCATTGTTCGCCGGCCTGTTCTCAGAGGCGCAACCACGGGGCCCTGCCCCTTCCTCTCCGGAGCCCAGGGCCACACTGGTGGCTTTGGGTCGAGGTATAGATGAGGCTCAGAGATCAGGTACTTGGCTGGGAGGAAGATGCCTAAAGAGAAAAGAGGCGCAGTTTCTGGCCCAGGTGGTAGTAAGAGGACACCACAGTGTCTGGGTCTCTCTGGCTTACCAAGAGAGGCTGAACTAGACTGGGTCTTTCATCAACTGCTTCAGGCATGTGTTAAGCTAGTACAGCGGTAGCTTCTCAGTCTCTATCTTTGATAAGTTTATCATCTGATGGAGAAGGCAGGTGAATAAACATTTACCAAATAGCTCTCGGTGGAGCTCTAAGGGGGCCTGGCCAGGGCTTGTTGGGGATGCAAAGGAGAGAGCTTGACTAAACCTGCTTAAGGAGCAGGCGGGGCAGGATTCCAGGAGTTTGGGACATTTCAGTAGGCTCTAGAAGGATGAGGAAAAAATGATCAAGGCAGAGAGCTCTTTAGAGGGAATAATGGGCAAAGGCGACAGCATGGACACAGATGCTCTGAGGCAGAAATGGGCAAGGAGCTGTAAGCATCTCTGTAGGACCAGGCTCTTCCGGGTGTGTTCATGATGGGGAGCCAGTGATGCGGAGAGGAGGGTTCAGATGCGATGGTTCTCAAATGCCAGACTCAGGAGTTTAGATTCGGTCCTAAAGGCAACGGGAAACCATTTTCTTATTGGTCTGTTTCAAGGGAGTAATCCTATCAGCCATGTTCCAGAAAGACCATATTGGCAGCTGTGTGAAGAACAGAAGTGGGTGGAAGGCAGAGGGACAGAATGAAAACAGAAAGATCAACTAGGATTTATCCAGGCAAGAGACGAGAAGGCTGTGCTTGGTGTGGACTGTTGCGGGAAGCAAAAAAGAGTTCCACTGACTGATATTGATGCTATAATGACACTGAGGGCGCCTTAAGTCAACCTTTCTGCATGAGTGTGGCCCCATAGGCTGGGCTGAAAAAAAAAAAAAGAGCAACACTCAATTGTGAGACTATGAGCCGAAGTGGTTGAGGGAGCCTAGGGCCTAGAGTCTACGAGGGGTTAGCAAGACCCTGAGCCTTCCCTTCCTGCCCACCTCTCTCCTGGGCACCTTCCTGCAACTGGCTGACTGTCAGAGGCACCAGTGAAAGTGAAAGTCGCCCAGTCGTGTCCGACTCTTTGCGACCCCATGGACTATACAGTCCGTGGAATTCTCTAGGCCAGAATACTGCAGTGGGTAGCCCTTCCCTTCTCCAGGGGATCTTCCCAACCCAGGCATTGAACCCAGGTCTTCCGCATTGCAGGCGGATTCTTAACCAGCTGAACGACAGGGGAAGCAAGGGAGGGACATCTTCTTGGGACAAGGAAGGCAACACAGTGGCAGCCATCTGTACCCCCTCTGATGGTCCATGGTAAAGTGACAGCCAAGGCATAAGTTTGAACCCCATGTCTTGGGGCCCTAATTAAAAGTGTTCCCAGGACTGAAATGGTCTCAAATCGACGAGTCCTACAAGGAAAACCAGCCCTGGGCCTGATGAGCTGCATACTGCCCTCCCACCCACTGCCCAGCAGCCAGAAAGGGCTTGGAGTTACAGACTAATAATCATCACGGCTTCTGGGCAAATGCTGAGGCTCCCCTCTCCCCTACAGTGGAGAGGCCGAGTTGACACCAACCACCGGGTCCTCCTGGAGTGTCCTGTAGGCGCTGTCAGCTCATTGTGGCCCTGCACGATTGGTGCTTCCTTGGCGCGTTCACAGAGGCCTTCTAGCATACCCCTGTTATTTTCCCATCTTATACCAACAATAGAGACATTTTGTCTTTATATATGTATATCTATGGGCTTCTCCGGTAGCTCAGCTGGTAAACAGTTGCCTGCAATGCGCGAGTCTTGAGTTTGATCCCTGGGTTGGGAAGATCCCCTGGAGAAGGGCATGGCAACCCACTGCAGTATTCTTGCCTGGAGAACCCCCATGGACAGAGGAGCCTGCTGGGCCACAGTCCATGGGGTCACAAAGAGTTGGACATGACTGAGTGACTCAGCACAGCATGTATACCTATGGCTGATTCCTGTTGATGTATGGCAGAAACCATCACAATATTGTAAAGTAATTATCCTCCAGTTAAAAATAAAATTAAAAAAAAATTCCAGTGAGAAGGCCTGGTGGGGCCCCTTTCCAGTGGTACATCTAGTTTTGAGAAGCAGCTACATTCCCTGTAGTCCTGGCTCACGGGGCCCCCTGGTGGCTTGGAGGCTGGGCAGATAGATAATGGCCTTGGATAAACTCAGCCGGCCTGAGCTCTAGGAAACCCAGCATAAGGCAGCTGAGTGGACCCATGTCCCACACAGGCACAGCAGAAGGTAAAGAAAGTCACATACACCACATTTATTACAGGATTCTGGGACAAAAACGTTCAGAACTAAAATAAATATTTGTAAAAAATTTGTAAATATTTTCTCTGATGAACTTCATTCCAATAGACCTATCAGCCCTGATTCTGTTTTACAACAGCTAGTATCTTGAGACGTCAAAGGAGAAGGATATATATTTCTGAGCTTTCAAATCCCCAAGGTGAACAGGATCTTTCTTATACCAAGAGTCTGCCAATGAGAACTTCCAGATACAAAATGAATCACATGCAGGGATCACAGTCCAGGTCACAAAGCATTATGTAAGCCAAAATAGCAAAGCTCTTAGAAGCAAGACTTGCATCAGGTCCAAAGAAGAGTGCTCTTTAAAGCTGATGCGGAGACTTGGGTTTTAACTGAAGCCTTCTGTCAAAGGGACTATCTGATCTGCCATTTGAAATGGAAACTCAGAAACTGTACTTTACACTCCAAAATAATAATTTTAAAAAACCCTGCCTCATCTTGGTGGTTTGGCTTGTATAGAACTGGCACGGGCCATCTCTCTATTCAGGCTGGGGTCCCACCCCTGGAGTTGTCCTGCCACAGTCTATTATTTCTGGATCCTGAGGCTAAGCCAGAATCACCTGCTGAAAGCACAGGAAATCTCAGTCAGCATTCAGCTGAAGAGAGAGCGCAGGGCAGACCAGATCCAGTGATGAAACAGCACAGGCCTCTCAGTGTGGGAGCTCTCACACAGCGGCAGGGAGTGGTTTTTGAGTGAATGAGGGAAGGACCACAGGCTTCACATATGAGAGTTCCCGGGTTCCCACAAAACCCCAAACTGTCCCCCCAAGTGATAACCGCAGACGTATGTGTAAGGTTTTACAGGTTACAAAGTCCTCTCACAGGAGGTAGGGACTGTTCTGTTCCTATGATACAAGTAAGAAAGTTGAGACGAAGGAAAAATAGAGAAATCAGAATTCAAATACCTCTCATGCCACCACCTGATTTCTGTGAAGCCTCTCCTGATTGTCTGGACCAGTGGGATGCAGGAGAATGTACCATGAGGTCACTTAGCTGTGTCTAACTCTTTGTGATCCCATGGACTGTAGCCCGCCAGGCTCCTCTGTCCATGGAATTCTCTAGGCAAGAATACTGGAGTGGGTTGCCATGCCCTTCTCCAGGATTTTCCCAACCCAGGGACTGAACCCAGGTCTCCCACACTGCAGGTGGATTCTTTACCATCTGAGTCTCCAAGGAAGCCCAGAAAGTACAGTAAAAGAGTCCAGATCAGAAGGAGTTGGATTAGTCTGCATTTACTGAATAAAACAATGGGGAATCTCCTACTTTTCTTAGTCTCCGTTTCCTTGTCTATCAGACGATCATAATGATGTATAGTCAAAAGTGTGAAAGTTGCTCAATCGTGTCCAACTCTTTGTGACCCATGGAATTCTCGAGGCCAGAATACTGGAGTGGGTAGCCAACTGTTCCCTTCTCCAGGGGATCTTTCCGATCCAGGGATTGAACTCAGGTCTCCTACATTGCAGGCGGATTCTTTACCAGCTGAGCCACAAGGGAAGCCCATAATGATGTATATGGAAGAGCTATTTCTAAGCTCTGAAGATTAAATGAGTTAATATTTAAAACATCTTAGAACATGGCCTGCCATCGAGTAAGCATTATTTAATTTGTGTTCTCATTTTCTCCTCTGGTGTCTTAAAAAAAACCGAATTTAAAAACTATTTTGTTAAACACCACATGCACTACTTTACAAGACAGACCAAAACATACTATTTAATTGAATAAATTCAGTGCAGCCTCTGAATCATGACTTGTGGACCATAGTATTCAAGAATACCCATAGATTCTTTACATTAAACCAAATTTCCAGAGAATGTGAATAAATCCATCATTTGAATGCTAAAAGTAAAATTAAAGAATTGATGATTGTGTTAGGATTTGTGTGTGTGTGTGTGTGTGTACATGTTTTTAAAAATTCGGAAACTCTAACTCAAGTTCTCAATGTAGGAGAGGCTTATAAGCACATGGGCGCCGTCTAGTGGCGGGTAAAGTCATATTTCACCAACTGAGGTAGTGTGTTTGGGAATTTACATTAGATGTTACTCAACCGCTAAGTCAAGTTCGACTCTCTGTGACCCCCTGGACTGAAGCACACCAGCGTTCCCTGTCCTTCACTGGCTCCCGGAGTTTGCTCAGACTCATGTGCATTGAGCCAGTGATGCTATCTAACAATCTCATCCACTTCAGCCCTCATCTCCTTTTGCCCTCA